CCCACATTGTGGAGTCCCTGTGCAGGAGCCAGATCCCTCCATGGCATCTGAGCACCCTTGTGACATCTCTGCTGTTGCATGAGCTGCTGGGATTTGAACCAGACCTCTGGCTGCATCCCTAGATGTTGGAATCCTGGATGCTGAGAATTTAAAACTTTCTCTGCCTTAGCCTCAGCTGCTGTTTTTGTGAGGAATACACACACTTCCCTGCAGGAAGCTGGGAGGAGGAGCAGAGGCTGTTTACTTTCCTTTCCTGGCTCTGGGGCAGGACACACTATTTATAAGTTTTTTCTCTTTTTTTTTTTTGAAGCTATTGTGCTTTCTGAGGTCCTTCTCTCTTGTCATGCAAGGAGGAGAGAGGCAGAGCTGAGCAGGGAGCTCCAGCCACACTCAGTCCCTCAGGAGGAGGTGACATTCCCAATGTCATCGTGCTCATGGCAGTGGGGCTCTGTCTCAGAGGTGGAGACACCAACCCTCATGGTCACAGTGCTCCTTTCTCATGTCTGGGATGTCTGACCTTCTCCAGGCCATGCTGAATTCATGGAATGTGCCAGCAGGACAAGATGGGCACTGAAATCCCTGTGAAACCATGAGATGGTCACCCCATCCTGCAGAGAGGGGTGAGAAAAGCTCCTGGGTTGTCCCCAGAAATGTCACTGGGACCTGGGGCTCCTCATGGTTTTGCTGTCAGAACCTGTGCTGAGCCATTTCTGCCCCTCTTTGGGGTGAAGGTTCCTTGGCCAGCCCCTCAGCCCCTTCCTGCCCCTGGCACAGCAGCACAAGGGAGGATTTATCTGCAGGGCTTGGTTGTCCTGAGGCTGTAATCGTGGTGCTGCAGCTCTGCCTGGGGCTTTCTGAACCCCTTTGTGTCTGGGCTTTGACTTTTTTCTCTTTTCTGCAACAGAAGGACCCGGAAAAAAGCCATTTTTGGGTGTTGTAATTCAGTCCAGCCCTTTGATAAGGACAGGGGCTGGCTGTGCTCCAGAAAGACCACATGGGTGGCATTGGAGGGGTTTACCCTGGCCTTGGGGCACTTTGTGGGGTTATAAAGTCAAAGGAAAGGGGCCATGTAGGTCAGCATCGCTATTGGGATACTCACTATTTCTTTGGGCAGGTTAAACCGGGTTTGGGGCACTTTGTGGGGTTTAAAATCAAAGGAAAGGGGCTCTGTAGGGCAGCATTGTTGTTGGGATGCTCACCATTTCTTTGGGCAGGCATTGGGCAGGTTTACCCTGGGTTTGGGGCACTTTGTGGGGTTTAAAATCAAAGGAAAGGGGCCGTGTAGGGCAGCATTGCAGTGGGGTTACTCACCATTTCATTGAGCAAGTTTATCCCGGGTTTAGGGCACTTTGTGGGGTTTAAAGTCAGAATAAAGGGGCCATGTAGGGCAGCATTGCTATTAGGATACTCACCATTTCTTTGGGCAGGTTTACCCTGGGTTTGGGGCACTTTGTGGGGTTTAAAGTCAAAGGAAAGGGGCCGTGTAGGGCAGCATTGCAATGGGGTTACTCAGTATTTCCTTGGGAAGGGGCAGCAGGGCTCAGAGGAGTGGGGATGATGGATGTGGCTCATGTGAGGAGCCCTTGGAGGTCAGCAGGGCTGTTTGTACCCAAAGCTCATTAGCAGGCCAGAAAGAAACCCCCAAACCTCTTGGTACTGAGGGATCTCAGGGCAATGTTCATTCAGGAAAGACACTGCTCAGCATTTCCTTTGCTGCTGAGTTCCTTGAGAGCATTTACCCTGTTCTGGCTCTCAGGAAGTCAGAGAGCTGCTTGTTGAAGGGAAGAGGTGGAGACTGAGCTGGCTGGAGGAGGGACAGGCAGGTTTCAAGGGCCTGATGTGGACAGAAGTGTGGTTCCACCCCTCAGTGTCCTCTGCTGCTCCTGCCCACCCAGCTTTGCTCAAGGGCTCCCCGTCGGGTTGTCCCTTCCTCTTTCTTTGTTTCCAGCAAAATGCAGGCTGGGCTTGGCTGCTGCATTGTTTTAAACGTGGGGGTTTTGGAAAAAAATACAGCTAAAATGTTTGTTTGTGGATAAAGTGTGTGATGGAGAGGGGAAACTGTGGAAAATCTGTGCTGGAGGGTCAGAGCTCCAGCTGAGGGTTGGAGACCTGAGAGTTTGAACACGTGGAAAGAGCTTTCCAGTGTGGGGCTTTTTTTGAATTAATTATTCTGGGATGCTGAGAGCTGTGCCTTGGACACAGACCTGCAGTGCCTGAGCTGTGCCAAGTGCAGACTGCAGGGCAGGGAGTGCTGCAGGAGCTGTCACCCCTGTGAGCAGGTGATGGCATGGCTGGGAGAGCTCCACAGAAATCAGAAACCAGATAAGTCTGAGCAAAAGCATTTTTGATTTTCTTTATTGCCTCCATCCTTTCTTCTACCGATGTCTGAATATTGCTGAGATGCAAGACAGAGTATTTTGTCATGAGGAGCCCTTCATGGGACCCTTCCTGGGTTTACAGGGGGGGTGAGAGTTGTGCTTTGGTGCTTTCCTGTGGTGCTGTTCTCATCAGGCTGACCTTGGGCTTGGATCTCTCTGTGCATCCCTCCAGCTGTACCCTGTGATGGTGTTCACAGGGGTCCCAGGATGAGAGAAGAGATGAGGATCTGACTCCATGTTTCAGAAGGGTGATTTATTATTTTATGAGATTTATTATATTAAAACTATACTAAAAGAATAGAAGAAAGGATTTCATCAGAAGGCTAGCAAGCAAAGGAGAAAGAATGGAATGATAATAAAATCTTGTGACTGACCAGAGAGTCCAAGCCAGCTGACTGTGATTGGCCATTAATTAGCAACAACCAACATGGACCAATCACAGATGCACCTGTTGCATTCCACAGCAGCAGATATTCAATGTTTACATTTTGTTCCTGAGGCTTCTCAGCTTCTCAGGAGGAAAAATCCTAAGGAAAGGATTTTCCATAAAAGATGTCTACGACAGCCTGGGGTTCATATTTGGGTTCATATTGGGGTATTCCCCCCAAAAGGAAAGCAGTCCAAAGTCTGTGTCCTCACATTTTAACCCCTGCAGTCTCCCCTTGCTGAGCCCCAGCTCTGAGGGCCCTGCTTTCTTCACCATCTCTGATTTCCCTGTGCCAGGGGAGGTGCCCATGGCTGTGCCAACCCCTGGTGCCAGGACAGAGGAGGTGGCAGCTGCTGGGTGTTGGAGCAGAGCTGGGTGGCTGCCATGGGGATGATCCCCTGTCCCTGTGCCACCAGCTGGACCCAGCAGTGACCGATGGCTCCTGTCCAGCCAACGGATGTGTCTGAGGGATGGAGGGTCCTGGGTCAGAGCAGCCCTGGGACATGGATGCTTCCTGCATGGTGGTTCCTCTCCATGGTGGGAGGACCTCCTGGGATGAGGCAAGGCTGTGCTCCAGTTCTCTCCCTGGGATCCTGATTCACAGAATTCACAAAATCACTGGGTTGGGAGAGACCTTCAAGATCATCAAGTCCAGCCTCAACCCCTCAGCTAAACCCTGGCACCCAGTGCCACATCCAGGCTTTGTTAAACACACCCAGGGATGGGGACTCCACCATCTCCCCAGGCAGCCATTCCAGAACTTTATCACCCTTTGTCTGAAAAACTTCTTCCTAATATCCAACCTGTATTTCCCTTGGTGCAGCTCAAGGCTGTGTGCTCTGGCTGTGTCAGTGCTGCTGCAGAAAGAGCCCAGCCCCAGCTGAGCACAGGCACCTTTCAGGAGCTGTGCAGAGTGATGGGGGAGCCTGAGTCTCCTTTTCTCCAGGCTGAGCACCCCCAGCTCCCTCGGGGGTTCCTCACAGGGTTTGTGTTCCCAGCCCCTCTCCAGCCTGATGTCCTGTGGGGTCTCAAGCCCAGGATTTTAAAGGTTAAATCTCACTACTGCTATGATTCTGGGGGGGATCAGAGAGTATTTCCAGCCTGTGGCTTCTCAGTGGGATCCAGCAGTGGTTCCCTTTCTGTGGAGTTCAGCCTTTTCTTTCCACCTGGCTGGGTCCTGAAAGGAGCGGGGATCAGTTGTCCCTTCCCTTGTATCAGGGTCTCAAGTTCATGTGCTCAAAACATTTCAGTCTTTGGGTTCCTGTGGTCTCTAGGTTTGTTTTTAAGGGTATGAGCTTCTGGGGCTGCCACCTTTGGTTTTCTTGCTGCATTTGTATTGGATTTGGTGCTCTCCTGGGATTGTTTTCCTGTTCCCAACTTGCATTTTGCTGGCAGTGCTCACAGGAAAGCCTGTGTTTATCTGTGCATCCTTTGGATGTGAGAGGGAAAGCGAGGTGTTGTTCTGACCACTTTGCGTGTCACTAATTTAAACTCATACTTTTTTCTGTGTAAAGGAGTTTTAGTAGTTTTAACTGCTAGCAAGAAAGGAATTAAAGTCTTTGCAAAATGTTAGCAAGAAAATGCACTTCATTAGCTCAGTGGGATAAAAAAGGTTACTTAAATTTTAACTACTGCCTAATGATTGGTTTCACTGATTTCACCTTACAACATTTTAAAACTAAAATGTTCTGCGAGTGGTCAGCAGATATGAGTGACAGCAGAAGCAGGTCATAAACTGGCAGCAAATGTCATGCTGAATAGAATCATTGTGTTATGAGGATTGACATTCAGCTATAGTTCAAATACAGTATAACCATCAGTTCTTAGGAAATTTGGCATTGATTTTTTTGTGGTATAGGTTAAAAGAAAGAAAAAGAAAAGGAAGCTGGATCTCTGTCTTCACCCAAACCCTGCTCTGCTCTGCCATACCATGATGGGACCTTCTGCTCCCCTCTGAGTGTGGGGATAATTTCTGCTCTGGGGCTGAGTTTCCTGGCCTTGATTTGTTTTATTACTGGGTTTTTAACTTGTCTGAAGAGGCAGGGCCTTTAATCTCCAGCTGCTTAAGTGGATTGTGAGTCCTGGGATGAAGGAGCAGAAATGGAGTTTTGACCCTTGTGCAGTGTCTGTAAGCACCTCTGGACACACTCAGGTGGACGGTAACTAAATCCTGAACTGCTTTTCATGTTTTTTAGCTCTGAAAAGATCCTTTGAGGTCGAGGAGGTAGATCAGTCTTCAAATTCCTCCACGCCACAAAGACGGGCCCCCAACACCCTCCTCAGGTCCACCGTGTCCAGCTCCACGCAGAAGTTTCAGGAACTCGGCGCCAGGAACTCGGAGCCCTCCACCCGCCATGCGGAGCCCACAGTGCAAAGATCCCCCAAGCCCCCTCTGAGGAGAGTGGAGCTCTCTGGACCCAAACTGCCCGAGCCGGTGTCCAGAAGAACAGAAATCTCCATCGACATCTCCTCCAAGCAGGTGGAGAACTCCACCTCGGGCCTGTCGCGGTTCGGCCTCAAACGAGCCGATGTGGGCCACAAGCCGCCCGAGGGCCCGGCCAGGAGGACTGAGATCACCCTGGGCAAGCCCCAGGAGCTGCGGCGGGCGGAGGCGCCGCCCTCCAAGATCCCCGAGCCGCCCTCCAAGATCCCCGAGCCGCCGCAGCGCCGCGCCGAGCCGGGCCCCGTGCCGGACACCGCGCCGCGCCGCCCGGACAGCCAGGGCGGAAAGGGCACCGAGAGCCCGGCCGTGAGGGCGGCCGAGGGCTCAGAGCCCGCCATGCCCGCCCTGCCACAGCTGGCAGAGACAAAGGCACACGGGCTGCCCACCGAGAGCCCGCCGAAGAGAGAGGAAGGTGAGTGCCAGGGGCTGACGGGTCAGGGATGGAGTGGAAGGCTTCGTGAGGTGGATCAGAAGGCAATTTATAATTTTATATTGATTGTATTTATAAATGTCATAATTATTATATTTATAAATTCTATAACTATCATATTTATAAATTAATAATTATTATATTTATAAATTTTATCATTATTAGATACATAAATTTTAAATTAATAAATATTTTAAATTCATATATATTTTATAGATAAATATTTATATTTAAATATATTAAACGTTTAAATATTTATTAATAAATATATATTTATAAATTATTTTATATATTAATTTTATCATCATTATATTAATAATTTTAATAAATAGCTATTATATTAATAATACTATTTAATATTAACAACTAATATTTATTAATAATTATTACATTAACTAAAATATTAATGTTAAATTATGAATTTGTAATATTTAATATTATTTATTGTAATTATTATAGTTCATTGATATAGACCATTTATGTTGAATAATGAATTATTAGTATTATAGAACATTAATATTAACATTATTCACATTAAATTATATTTTGCTATCAATATGTTAAAATTTAATAATTATTGTATTGATTATTGATTATTAATAATAATTAATAGTAGTTATTATGTTATATAGCTATTTCATTCTTTTATTGTTCAAATGTTATTTTGTAATGAAATTTTATAATGTGACTCGCTAAAGTGAGTCTCAAAGTCTCTTTGATTGGTCTCAAAGTAAAAACCTCTGACACTATTGGTGAACGATGACTAGCACACTCTGGAGAACCATATCTATAAACAAGGGTTACAGAAAGAGATATAATAATTGTTTTAATGATTTTATAATGTTATTTTATTTTTTATTGTTGTAATATTGTTTTATGATGAAATTTTATAATGAGACTCGCTAAGGTGAGATTTGATTGGTCTCAAAGTGAAAACCTCTGACACTATTGGTGAGCTATGACTAGCACACTTTGGAAAGCCATATCTATAAACAAGGGTTACAGAAAGAGAGATAATAATTGTTTTAATGCTTTTCTCTAAGTTTCCCACAGCTTCCCAGGAAAATCCTGGGAGGACTGTGTCGTGGCATTCACATTCCCTGAACATGATTCCTTCAACCAGGGTTTTTCTCCTGGGAAGCTGAAAGGCAGCAAGAGACCTCAGAGAAAAGGAAAACAATTCTTATCGCATTTGCTTCTCCTGTGTTGTGTTCATGTGGAATGTGTTTGGGGATTGTTTACCCACAGGTGTGAGTTGTTTTCACTCTTTGGCCAATCAGGGCCAAGCTGTGTTGGGGCTCTGGAAAGAGTCACGAGTTTTTATTATTATCTTTTTAACATTTAGTAAGTATCCTTTCTGTATTCTTTAGTATAGGATAGTATTCTTTAATATAATAATATAGTATAATATTATATAAATATATAATATATTATACTTTATTATACTATATAATTATTATAATATATTATAATAAAGTAATAAATTAGCCTTCTGATAAGATGGAGGCAGATGCACCATTCTCTCCCCTGGTGGTTGACCCTACATTTACAATACCCTGTCTCTGTCTGTTCAGAGGATGTGTCATTACCCTGTACAGCCCTGGCTGGGGTGGTGGCTGTCCCAGGTGTCACACAGGAGGTGGCAGGAGCTGTGTGCTCCTGTGGTGACACCTCTCAAGGCTGCTCAGGGATCTGTGCTCAGATGTGTCCACACGCAGAGCTGTTCCCCTTGGGTTTATCCTGCTGAAAGAGCTGTCAAGTTCAATAAGAAATTCTGGAAGGAAAGAGAAAAGGAAGTGGCAGTGCTGGCAGAGCAGGTCTGAGCAGTGCTGTGGTGCCAGCGTGGTTCATCCCTGTGAGGAGAGGAACAGGGAATCACTGTGGGGCTTCATCCAGAGACACCCACCTGCCCTGTGCCATGGAGACATCTCCTGGGATCCTCAGCTGGATGAGGGGCAGGCAAATCCTCAGGAAAAGCCACATCAAATCTGCCATGGGTGATCCTAGCACACCCTCCTGCCACATCCTCCTTTGCACTGTGTCTCCCTGGGTGCTGGCAATGCCAGCCCTGCCAGCTCAGGCTCTGTGTGCAGCCCCACAGGGCCCTGGAGAGGCTCTGAGGTGTGGGAGAGCTGCTGGCTCTGGAAGTGCTGTTGGGATATCTTTGTTTGGTGCTGTTGTTTGTGGTTGTGGGCAGGAAGGGCCTCTTCATTAGCAGAAGTCAGGGTTTTTGACCTTGGAGACCAAGTCTAATAACATCATGGACCAGAGCCACTATGAAACTGGAGACCTGGCTTATATTAGCTCTATCTTGTTTTCAATTAATTCCATGTTAAAGCCAGCTCCCCTCCCTTCCCAGCTGTCATTTATTCCCCAGAATGTTTTGGAGATTTTCCTTTCAGACCTGTTAATGACTTTTCCATTCTCCCTCGCCCATGAGCTCTCTCCTATGAGGGGTCCCGTGGTCAGGGGGAGGGCATCCTCTCCCTCCCCACCCTGGGGGCTGTGGGATGGGCTGGGGTGGGTGAGCCAGGCCTGGGAGGTCCATGCCTGGCCCTGGAGCTGGACCAGGGGTCCCATCCCCTCTCCTCTGGTCACAGTGATGTGCAGAGGTGAGGCTGTAGTGTGTGCTGGTGTAAAACCAAACCCGGAGTCAGCAGGGAGCTGATGTCGAACCTGCAGCACTAAAGTGAGTTTTTCTTACTCTGTGTGGTGTAGGCATGGCTTTTCTAGCTGGTTTTTCACAGGTTGGGCCATCTCCAGCTGGGCACAGCTGAACTCTGAGCCCCTGCCCAAGATGGGGATTTTGTGAGCCCCGCTCTGTCCCCAGCTGCTGTGTGTGGTGCCCCGGAGTCCCCTCCTGCCCCATGGGAGGGTGCTCAGCCTCATCCTTCTGGTTTTGGGCTGCTCTGAGTGCCCCAGCCCTGAGCCCCACGGGTGGTTGGTGCTTTAAATCAGAATTCAGCTGAGCTGCTGAGTGCTCCAGCTGCCCAGGGCAGGGACAGAGGGGGGACAGCTGCTGGGACAGTGTCACCCCTGAGCCCAGCTGTCTGCAGTCTGCCTGGCAGCACGACCCTGGCTCTGGGACAAAAGGGGCTTTCAGTCCAAACGTCTCCAAGAATCAGCACAGAATGGTTTGGCTTGGAAGGTGTCGGGACCCAGGACATTGCTCTGGCTGCCCTGGAGGACTCCAGACCCTGGCAGGGGGCTCAGAGACCCTGGCACAGAGTCAAAAACCCCTGAGCCTTTGATTTTAACCCATGGAAACAATTATCAACTTTGTGTGAAGAGCTAAGAGTTAAAAGAGTGAGAAGAAGTTCAGAGGTAAAAAGAAGCTAATGAAGAGCTCTCTCTAAGGCTGGTACTAAAGAGACTGAGAGAAAAGAAGAATTTTAAAAAAGATAAAGAACTTTACAACTAGGTGAAATATTTTTAGAAAGTTAGCTGAAGTTACTGTTGCTTTTCACTAATAGTGTTATGTTAATTTATTGTAACCAATAGAGTAAAAAAATATAAACAATTAGAAAGTATATAAAAACTCAGCCATTTTCCATAGTAAAGAGTTACCATCTGAGACTGCTTGCAGTTTCTGCTTTGTGTTGTGACCACCTCAGCAATGACCCTGCCCCTGTGATGTCTGCAGCAGGGACAACGTGTGGCAGCCTCTGCTCCAGGTTTGGGTCACCACGAGGTGCTCCAGGGTTTGGGTCACCAGGAGATGCTCCTGGGGCTCTGGGCACCCTTGGAACCTGTGGCTGGTCCAGCCCATACAGCTGAGCAGGGGATGCAGCTGCCTCCAGCTGCCCTCACTGGGTGGGGGTGACTCCCCAAAATGCAAACGCTGCCCTGCAGAAGAGACCAATAGTGAGCTTGTTAGTGAAAAGAAGTTGAGAAGTAAAAAGAAGCTAATTAAGAGCTCTCTCTAAGGCTGGTACTAAAGAGACTGAGAGGAAAGAAGAATTAAAAAAAGATAAAGAACTTTACAACTAGGTGAAATATTTTTAAAGCTAGCTGAAGTTAGTTACTTTTCACGAATAGTGCTATGCTAATTTATGGTTACCAATAGTTAGAATAAAAAAAATAAACAATTAGTATATAAAAAGTCAACCATTTTCCATCATAAAGAGTTACTATCTGAGACTGCTTGCAGTCTCTACTTTGTGTTGTGACCACCTCAGCAATGACCCTGCCCCTCTGATGTCTGCAGCAGGGACAACGTGTGGCAGCTTCTGCTCCAGGGTTTGGGTCACCAGGAGGTGCTCCTGGGGCTCTGGGCTCCCTTGGAACCTGTGGCTGGTCCAGCCCAAACAGCTGAGAGGGGATGCAGCTGCCTCCAGCTGCCCTCTCTGGGTGGGGGTGACCTCTCCTGTTCTGGAGCTGCCTTCCCCAGCTGTCAGGCTCAGCTGCCTGCCCTGCTGCTGAAGGTATGCAGGAGAGCGTGCTGTGCAGGAAGAGGCCAGTCAGAGGAGAAAAACAGTCCCAGGGAGTTTGGCAGATCACAGCAAACCACAGAGGAAAGGAGCAATTTCAGTGCTGAGCCTCATTAGGGCGGCAGGGCTGGTGGTGAGGGCAAGAAATGTTCCTTCCCATTCGTGTTCTCCCTCGCTGAGTCTTTGTGCTCTCCTGCACTCCCTGGGGAGCATTTGCTTTGTTTGTGCTGGTATAACATTGAGTTGGGCCATTAGTGACAGAAACATGGGACAGAAGCACCCATCCCTGTGGGGTGTGTCACTGCAAAGGTGGGCTTTGTGTCCCCAAAATCTCTAGTGGAGATGTCAATGGAGGTTTTGTGTGGCTGGGCTCCCCAGCTGGGACAAGGAGATGGGATGGGATGGGATGGGATGGGATGGGATGGGATGGGATGGGATGGGGTGGGATGGGATGAGCAGGTGATGAGCAGGTGATGTGGATTGCTATAGTTGGAATCTGCCAGAGCAATGTGAGCTGGGCTGTGCAGTGGGGGCAGGCAAGGGGAGGACATG